TGCAGCCAGAAAAGAACTGCCTCACAGAACATCCTAATCTCTCCTGCAGAGCTCTCCCAGCTGCTCACATAGCTACACAACAGAGAGGGGAGGGGAACAAACTCAGAGACATGCAGCTGCTTACCTTTGTGTGTTTGTTTGTGAGAGTGTATCCTGCAGATGTATGTGTGTGTCGTCAGTCAGGCAGTGCTCAGTGAGCCTTGGTGCTCCGGTTCAGTTCCCTCCTCAGGCTCTGCTCATGTGCACTTCTCCCATCTCACACAGGGGCTCATCTCTGGCTCTCTCTCCCACTCTACTTCCCTCTGTCCTGGGATTAGATCTCAACTGGTCCCCCTCCTAGAGAGCCAGATTCCAGAGGCCTTCTCTCTGCATCCTGCTGCCCAGCAAAGTATCCTCTCTGTGGGCTCCGTGAGGCTGGGGTTAGGGGTTAGAGCTGGAGCTCTGTCTGGAGCATGACTGAACTAGCGGCTACTTCTACACACTGAGCTACGACGCCTGGTGCCTCAAGGTTTTCACAAAGGATTGGATGGGAAGGGAAGGGAGGGAGGAAGAGGGTGTGGAAGAGGGAGGCTGTTTTTCCCCTCCATTTCTCCCTACGTCTTTTTTAGAACATGCCAGCCCACCTCTGATGTCACTGGTCTGAAAAAAGAGAGGGAATATCAGAAGAACCTCCTCAAGTTTCACATCCTCCACCACTCCTGCCCCACTTTGTTAAGAAAAGAAAGATAGAGAGAGCCAGTTGGAGAAACTTTAGACTTCAAAAAACTGTTTGAACTCACACAAGGAGGGTTTGTTTGGGGGTAAGGACAGCAGACACACACACACACACACACACACACACACACACACTCCCTTTCATCCACCATATATTGAAGTCCATGTCTGCCGCTGTAACCCCCCCATCCCACTAGTACCCCAAAATTACCAGACACCCGCTTCTCTCTGGCTTACTCCTCTATGCTTAGACCCCTTCTGTGTGCGAGTCCATAAGACACCCTCCATCCCTCTCTCCTATCTTCCCAGGCTGTAGTGTATGTTCATGCTGTGCCACAGTTATCCTGGTGTTGTCTAGGGTTTACTGCATCTACCTTTAAGGCCAACCCACGCTGTACGTCAGATTCAGTCTCTTACGATTATTCCATGTCACAATGTGCGACGTTACCAAATTAAGATCTTTATATCGACCTGGCCAGATTGTACGATTTGCTTCAGTTTTGTCATCACATTCTGCGATTGGCTTGCGAGGCTACATCAGCCGACGTAGGCTATGTCAACTGCAGTGGTGTATTTGATCAGCGCATGTGCTAGCACCAGCAGCGCAAGCCTCCCTCTATGCTTATGTGTGAGTGAAGTGAGTTCGTAAAAACTAAAAGTATGCATCTTAGAAATAGTTTTCACATACAAATGTTATTTGTCTGAACTCAGAATCAAATAGGCTTCCCCAAAATAACATGGTCGCTGTGGTAGAACTTTTCTTTTGATTGGCGATTTTGTGCATTTATCAAAATCCCATCAAGTAGCCTGATTTTCAAATGTGTCATGTAAACAAGATTATTAGGGAAATCGCTATTTTTGCACAGCATGTAAACAAACTATTTAAATCGAACTATTATATTAATCTGCTATTCACAATAATCGTATTATTGTGTGCATACTCAGTGCCGGCCGTGTTCCTATTGGTCAGTCACCGGGATTGGCTCATAACACCAACACACTACACGATAAAGGCAAAAAAATTTGCCTGAACTTTGTCGGAGCCTACGAACGCACGTAGTGGTACTTAATCGGAAGACCTAGACCCTGTCACACTGAACAAGCCAAGACGCCTGACAATCGTTTACAACCTAAGAATTTGCCCACAACGTGGAAATTTGGTCTGGGACGGCAAAATCGTGGCATAAGACGGCTAAATAAAATCTTACAGTTTGTGCAGCCCTTTAGACACTGTGTAATACACATAGCTGTGTGTGTGAATGGGTCTTTGTGCGGTGCATATACATCACACTGATTTGTAGAGAGGTGGGAAGGAGAGGCCAGCTCTAGGTGTATGGAGAGACCCTCTTCCTCTCCTCCCCCTCTCCCCTTTCCCTCCCCTCTCTCCCTATCCCCAACCATGTGAGATGTCAGAGAGCGAGCAGATGATTTACATGTTTTGGAGAAAGGTTTTTTCTGGTTGCCAGACTGGTTGATAATATCTTCATGTCACACTTCCAGATAGAACACTGGAATGTGTAGAGGGGATCAGAGGAGAAGGGGGCCTTTTTATTTTTAATTTTTTTGACTTAGTATCTACTTCCTGCTTTTGTCTCAGATTTCAGACGTGTGTATGTGTTCTGGGCAGACTTTACTCTTGCATGACTAACTGCCGTCATCCTTCCGACACGCTATGAAATTACCAGTACTGGCGGTTAAGCCTTCACTCCCTCTCTCTCTTCTTCCCATCTCTCCATCTCGCAGCTGTTTCTCCATAACCATTTGTTTGCACTTCTTCTCTCTGTCCCGTTCTCTATCGCTCCCTTTCTCCTTCCCTATATCTCCCTCCATTCCTCCCTCTGGTTCTAATCAGAGTGATGGTATGTATGATGTAGGCATTAGAGGGCTCCATGATGAGTGGTGCTGTCCCAGGACTAGTGTCTGCTGCTCTAGTGTAGTCAACATTGGTGTTTTGTTGTTGCACAGTTGCTTTTACAACCACTTGGCTTCCTGACTGTTCAGTTGTGTGTGAGCGTGTCGAAAGGAGAACAACTCTTATGTCATGAGGGTGTGAGACATTGCCTTGCATCTGCTGCTGCTGTGCTGCTCTCATTACGAACATGAAAGTGAGGGGGGAGAGAGAATTTGGGTTTGGGAGGGGGGGGTGTTGAAGGAGAAAACTAGGGACTGGATAGAAAGCAGAAGAGAAGAGAATGACAGATGTATGGAGAGGGAGATGATGTCGGAGACAGTGTGATGGGAGAAAGTTAAATGGTGCTGTAAATTCATCTCAATTTCGAGAGAGAGAGGCGTGTGGGGTAGTGAGAGAGGGACAGAGAGCGAGGCGTGTGGGGAGTGAGAGAGGGACAGAGAGCGAGGCGTGTGGGGAGTGAGAAAGAGGGACAGAGAGCGAGGCGTGTGGGGAGTGAGAAAGAGGGACAGAGAGCGAGGCGTGTGGGGAGTGAGAGAGGGACAGAGAGCGAGGCGTGTGGGGAGTGAGAGAGGGACAGAGAGAGGCGTGTGGGAGTGAGAAGAGGGACAGAGAGAGAGGCGTGTGGGATGAGAAAGAGGGACAGAGAGCAGGCGTGTGGGGAGTGAGAGAGGGACAGAAAGAGAGGCGTGTGGGGAGTGAGAGAGGGACAGAGAGAGAGAGAGGCGTGTGGGGAGTGAGAGAGGGACAGAGAGAGGCTGTGGGATGAGAGAGGGACAGAGAGAGCTGTGGGATGAGAGAGGGACAGAGAGAGGCATGTGGGAGTGAGAGAGGGACAGAGAGAGGCGTGTGGGGAGTGAGAGAGGGACGAGAGAGAGAGAGGCATGTGTGGGGAGTGAGAGAGGGACAGAGAGGAGCGAGGCATGTGGGGATAGAGAGAAGGGACAGAGAGAGCGTGTGGGGAGAGAGAGAGAGGGACAAGAGAGGCGTGTGGGAGTGGAGAGGAGAGAGAGTGACGAGAGAGGACGGAGGCGTGTGGGAGGAGAGAGGAGGCGCGTGTGGGGGAGAGAGAGAGAGGCGCGTGTGGGGAGAGAGAGGGACAGAGAGGGACAGAGAGGCGTGTGGGGAGAGAGAGGGACAGAGAGGCGTGTGGGGAGAGAGGGACAGAGAGAGACGTGTGGGGAGTGAGAAAGAGAGGGAAGAGGTGTAGAGAGTGGGGGGAATGAGAAAGAGAGAACAGAGAGAGGTGGGGGGGAGTGATAAGAGAGGGGGGAGGTAGAGAGAGGTGTAGAGAGGGAGAGAGGGAGAGGTAGGGAGAGGTGGGGGGGGGGAGTGAGACAGTGGGAGGTAGAGAGACAGTAGGAGGTGGGAGGTAGAGAGAGCGAGAGAGAGAGAGAGAGGCGTTCCACAGGGATGCTGGCCCATCTTTACTCCAGTGCTTCCCACAGTTGTCAAGTGTGCTGGATGTCCTTTGGGCGTTGGACCATTTTTGATACACATGGCAAATCTAGCAGCGTTGCAGTTCTTCACACAAACCGGTGCGCCCTGGCGCCTACTATCATACCCCGTTCAAAGGCACTTTTGTCTTGCCCATTTACCCTCTGAATGGCACACATACACAATCCATATCTCAAGACTTTCAAATCCTTCTTTAACCTGTCTCCTCCCCTTCATCTACACTGATTGGAGTGGATTTAACAAGTGACATCAATAATTGATCATAGCTTTCACCTGGTCAGTCTGTCATGGAAAGAGCAGGTGTTCTTAATGTTTTGTTAACACCATTGCTCAACATATGATTGTTTATGTATGAATAACAGGATGATGGAATATTGTGTGTGTTCTATTAGTGGTGTTTGTGTGGTACACATTCCACTCATGTCATGTCTCAACTCCAGTGTGATGTCATTAGACTGCCGTCAAACGATCTGTCTGTGTGTGTGTGTGATCAGAATGTGTTTGTTGATTAAGGAATAGGGATTAGTCAGTATGTGGTCTGGAATGATTTCGTTGTTCCCTGGTGTTGTTTTGAGTCACGCCTCAGACAGATGGACCTTGCCCTCATTTGGCTGGAAGAACAGAGAGTGCTGAGAGATGGAGAAAATGAAAGTGAGAGAAGGAGAGATTGGGTGTCTGCAGGCAACTAATGCAATCTTTTTCACTGAGTCAGCAGATTCTGTTCTCTGTTTGGGTTCATGTTTGTTTGTAAGAAAATCATGCTGAAGTTCCCATGGCAATTGCATTTGTTACTCTAGTATGTGCCAGTGTTCTAGGATTCTAATTAACCTATCATCTCATGTGTTTAAGAGTATTTACCCATGACAAGTTCTTGACCATCTCCCTCTCTTTCTCTGTATCTCGCCCTCTCTCTGTGTAGGTATGTATCTGTCTGACCTGACGTATATAGACTCAGCGTATCCCTCTACTGGCAGCATCCTGGAGAATGAACAGAGATCCAACCTCATGAACAACATCCTGAGGATTATATCTGACCTGCAACGCTCCTGCACCTACGGTACACACACACACACACACGCACACACCCATGCACACACCCCTCCCTACTTCATACCCTAAGACCTTTTCTCTGTCTGTATAGATATACCAATGTTGCCTCATGTCCAGAAATATCTCAACTCAGTCATGTATATCGAGGAGCTACAGAAGTTTGTGGAGGATGACAACTACAAGTGAGTAGTGGCTCTGTTAGGTTAATGGAGTTTGATTAGTTTGACCTTTATTGGAAGTCATAATCAGGTATGTGTTATGTGGTTCTCATGTGTAATGTTGTGTTGTATTGTGTTCAGGTTGTCGTTGAAGATTGAGCCTGCCACCAGCACCCCCCGCTCGACTGCCTCTAGAGAGGACCTTGTAGTTTCGGATGCATCTGCCTCTCCTCTGTGTGGCCGTAAGGGCCCCATTGCAGACGGAACCAAAGTCCCTCCCACGCCCCCCTCCCCCCGGAACCTCCTCCCCTATGGACACAGGAAGTGTCACAGCCTGGGCTACAAGTGAGTCACCCTCTACCGCAGGCTAACTTTAGCATCCATTACCACATAACATCTGAATGCAATGCTTCCCACTTCAGAATCTTCTGGATTCCAATCAATAATCACCCCCATGTGCTCTTTTAGGGATTTCGCAAATGTTACTGCATTGGTTAATTGGTTGTCATATGTTTTCTAATAGTTATTTTGTTTCTCTGTAGTTTTATTCATAAGATGAATACGGTGGAGTTTAAGAGCGCTACGTTCCCCAATGCTGGTTCTCGTCATCTATTGGACGACAGCGTCATGGAGAGCCACACCCCTACAAGAGGACAGGCCGAGAGCTCAACGCTCTCCAGCGGCATCTCACTGGGTTAGACACACACACACACACACACACACAACTGTGTTCTTATTCCTGTCTGTTGACTTTGACAGTAACACTGTCTGTCTGTGTATCTGCAGGGAGCAGTGAGGGTTCAGAACTCAGTGAAGAGATGTCCTGGCCAGCCTTTGAAAGGTAAGTCTGCACGCGCACACACACACACGATGATGTGTGAATCTCTTTGACGAAAGCTTAGCCTACAGGCAAGCAGCACTTACTGCCTTCTGAGCTGCTGTTCAGTGGGCAAACACAGTCTAGTGGTGTGCAGACGACCAGGGTTCAAACCCAGTAACTGGTCACATAAGCCCTTATGTCCGAGCGTCCGATGCTCTGTACCAAAAACACCAGTCCTGAAAGAACCTGAAGAAAAAACAACCGTCCTCATCCCAACCCTCACAATTTTGATAGAATGAACCGAGCTGAGAGAACCCAACCTTTACTGTTCCATGCCCCCACCCTGTCCCTGTCCTCTGCTGAACAGGACTCGGTTCTATCACTCTCTGGGCCCTGTGACCCGCGTGGCCAGAATCCCCTACAAAGGAGGCCTGAGGCCCAGCAGGTACACATACATTTCCCCCTACTCTACAACCCTCTCAACACCCTCGCCCCCTTCTCAACTCCCTCTCCACCCTGCCATCTGCCGCCCATATCCCCTCTGTTTGCCCGAGGGCCACTGTGTGCTGGTGTGTGTGTTGAAGGTGGTGGGAGTGTGTGTGTGGTATAATCGGGTGGTGGGACTCTGTGGGAGATTCTCCGCTAAACCAGACCATCTTAGCAACACTCTCATTCTCCCTGTATGGTATCTTTCACACATGCATTTTAATGACTTGTTTACACCTCAAACATTTATACGGGATTGTCAATTAAACTTTATGCAATATGGAGCCTGCAGGTTTTCTAAGAGGTGACTGAGTTTCCAGTTTACCACACTGCTGGGAGTTCTGCCCTCTGTCAGTCAGTCATAGACTTCTATTCTAGCTCCATTGGTTCTCTCTGTCATATATACAGTGCCTTCGGAAAGTATTCAGACCCCTTGACCTTTTCCACATTTTGTTAGGTTACAGCCTTATTCTAAAATTGATTTAAAAAATATTTTAAAAATCCTCATCAATCTACACACAATACCCCATAATGACAAAGCAAAAACAGGTTTTTAGAAAATGTTGCTAATTTATTAAAAATAAAAAACATATCACATTTACATAAGTATTCAGACCCTTTACTCAGTACTTTGTTGAAGCACCTTTGGCAGCAATTACAGCCTTGAGTCTTCTTGGGTATGACGCTACAAGCTTGGCACACCTGTTTTTGGGGAGATTCTCCCATTCTTCTCTGCAGATCCTCTCAAGCTCTGTCAGGTTGGATGGGGAGCGTTGCTGCACAGCTATTTCCAGGTCTCTCCAGAGATGTTCGATCGGGTTCAAGTCCGGGCTCTGGCTGGGCCACACAAGGACATTCAGAGACTTGTCCCGAAGCCACTCCTGTGTTGTCTTGGCTGTGTGCTTAGGGTTGTTGTCCTGTTGGAAGGTGAACCTTCGACCCCAGTCGGAGGTCCTGAGCGCTCTAGAGCAGGTTATCATCAAGAATCTGTCTGTACTTGACTCCGTGTATCTTTGCCTCGATCCTGACTAGTCTCCCAGTCCCTGCCGCTGAAAAACACCCCCACAGCATGATGCTGCCACCACCATGCTTCACCGTAGGGATGGTGCCAGGTTTCCTCCAGACGTGACACTTGGCATTCAGTTCAAAGAGTTTAATCTTGGTTTCATCAGACCAGAGAATCTTGTTTCTCATGGTCCGAGAGTCGTTTAGGTGCCTTTTGGCAAACTCCAAGCAGGCCGTCATGTGCCTTTTACTGAGGAGTGGCTTCCGTCTGGCCACTCTACCATAAAGGCCTGAATGGTGGAGTGCTGCAGAGATAATTGTCCTTCTGGAAGCTTCTCCCATCTCCACAGAGGAACTCTGGAGCTCTGTCAGAGTGACCATTGGGTTCTTGTTCACCTCCCTGACCAAGGCCCTTCTCCCCCGATTGCTGAGTTTGGCCGGGCGGAGAGCTCTAGGAAGAGTCTTGGTGGTTCCAAACTTCTTCCATTTAGGAATGATGGAGGCCACTGCGTTCTTGGGGACCTTCAATGCTGCAGAAATGTTTTGGTACCCTTCCCCAGATCTGTGCCCCGACATAATCCTGTCCCGGAGCTCTACGGACAATTCCTTCAACCTCATGGCTTGGTTTTTGCGCTGAAATGCACTGTCAACTTAGATTGTAAACTGTCATGGTCAAAACATATAGATTCAATGGTTGTAAAGATGGGGACAGGTCTATCTGTAAGAAAGAGATGCTCTGCTTTTTTGACACCACACTCCAAAAAGCAAGTCCTGCTTGCTCTAGTTTTGTCTTGTATTGATTATTGTCCAGTCGTGTGGTCAAGTGCTGCAAGGAAAGACCTAGTTAAGCTGCAGCTGGCCCAGAACAGAGCGGCACGTCTTGTTCTTCATTGTAATCAGAGGGCTGATATAAATACTATGCATGCCAGTCTCTCTTGGTTAAGAGTTGAGGAAAGACTGACCAAATTGTTTGCATAGTCAACTTACACACAGCGCTGACACACACTTACCCCACCAGACATGCCACCAGGGGTCTTTCCACAGTCCCCAAATCCAGAACAAATTAAAGAAAGCGTACCGTATTATATAGAGCCATTTTTGCATGTGTATGTATTGATATGTAGGCCCGTGTGCCTTTTGTACAAAACAAAACAAATATGTAGTTCTGTCCTTGAGCTGTTGTCTATTAATGTTCTGTATTAGGTCATGTCCCATGTTTTGTGTTGACCCCAGGAAGAGTAGCTTCTGCTTTTGTAACAGCTAATGGGGGATCCTAATAAAATACCAAAAAAATACCAAAAACTGTGGGACCTTATATAGACAGGTGTGTGCCTTTCCAAATCATGTCCAATCAATTGAATTTACCACAGGTGGACTCCAATCAAGTTGTAGAAACATCTCAAGGGTGATCAATGGAAACAGGATACACCTGAGCTCAATTTTCGAGTCTCATAGCAAAGGGTCTGAATACTTATGTAAATAAGGTGTTTTTTGTTTTTAATAAATTTGCAAAAACTTTCGAAAAAACCTGTTTTCACTTTGTCATTATTGGGTATTGCGTGTATATTGCTAAGGATTTGTATTTATTTAATCAAGTTTAGAATAAGGCTGTAACGTAACAAAATTAGGAAAAAGTCAAGGGGTCTGAATACTTTCCGAAGGCACTGTATGCCTCACTGGTGTCCTCCTAGTTCCCACTGGCTGCCCTTTCCTTATTCTCTGTGATCACAGCCAGAAAGACTCTGCACTGGAACCTTCCAGACAGGAAAATATGTCTGTGGAATTTATTCAAAGCAAGCCAAATACTGCTGCTACACAATTGATTGAATATGCAGATAGTGCAGTTCAGATATTGATTAATGAGGAAACTTCCCTGCAGATTCCGCCTGGCCCTACGTCAAATAAAATACTTTTTGAATTTCTGCATGTGAGTGTGTCCGTTTGTGCCTGTGTTTTGCTGTGTGTTTATGTCCTTGTCTCTGTGTGCGTGTGTGTGTGTGTCGTAGGGCTGGGCGATATATCGTGAATACCGGTATGGTACCACATACCAGTATGGATTTTTACAATACCGTCTAACGATATTTTGATACAGTGCTAAACTAAATGAAAAGTTCCACAGACTACTGTCACTTTTGTCCTAGTGTGGTTGAACATAAAACCATCAGAATGGAGAAATCCCATTAAAACCACTTAGAATTCATTTGTTGCCTTCCTACTCATAAAACATATTTAGAACTTGTATTATTCAGAAACATAAATACTGTCAAATACCGCCATTATATTATATTTTGCCCATATCGCCCAGCCCTACGTGTGTGTGTGTGTGTGTGTGTGTGTGTTTCTCTGTAAGTGTGTGTTGTAATTGTGCTGTGTTCTGCTCTAGCTCTGCGGAGTCTGAGGAGTTAGCGGTGCACCTGTACCCTGGAGCCGTCACCGTACAGGGAGTCCTACGACGCAAAACTGTCTTCAAGGAGGGCAAGAAACCCACGGTGAGAACACACACTGCATACATAAAGAACATACTGTACATTGGTCTTTCTATAAATAATGGGGCCAATGTGTGATATTGGGATCAACATTTCAAAATAGTTTGAAACAAAAATAAAAATGATGTTTATGCAGTTCCACTTGTGAACTTAGAGGAATAAAAATGAATATATGCAAATTGGCCCATAACTCCACCTATACAACTCCACCTATACCTCAATGTTATACAATTGTGTAATTTATATACACTATCGGTCAAAAGTTTTAGAACACCTACTCATTCAAGGGTTTTTCTTTATTTTTACAATTTTCTACATTGTAGAATAATAGTGAAGACATCAAAACTATGAAATAACACATATGGAATCATGTAGTAACCAAAAAAGTGTTAAACAAATCAAAATATATTTTAGATTCTTCAAAGTAGCCACCCTTTGCCTTGATGACAGCTTTGCACACATAATAAAGCCTATGTCCATGAATAGAGGTGGCATTAATCTCACCTTCGCCATTTGAATCTCACCATCGCTGTTTTTATATTGAGAAAGCGACCAAAAACTAGGTTCCCTTTGTAATGGAAGGATTTGTTTGGAAAGCCAAGTTGAAGCCAACATTAGATGTTGTCGTCCTCATAATAACCGCACGTGGTTTTACCGCAACAGAGTAGCGCAACAACACCCATCAATTGAAGCAGAGGGAAACAAACCAAAGTGGCCACATCTCTCACAAAAACTGATCAGAAATGAAATCACAGATAATTATAAGAGAGCAGGAGAATAAATCGGCTACAATAATTACAAGGACTTTTCAGACACCAAATTGAGTAAATGTCTGATTTTCAAGGTAGGCCTATACCAGCACTTGAATTTCTGAGCTCCAAATTCAAGTTCAAGTAGGCTACTTCAATCCCCTTGTATTGTTTAAAATCACAGGTGTAACATAGAAACTAAAATGTATTTGTCATGTTATTTAATGACCAGGTCATATTGTGAAGAAGCCCACAAGGCTATGTAATTTGTTGTCATTAGATCCAGAATAATGAATAGGAATTGCGTTGGGTGTTGCACAATAGTCTATCCTACACAATTGTGCACAGTAGCCTCTGTCCCTTCCGAGGCACAAAAACGTATGAAAACATGAACTCATTACCTTGATGCTTTCTTTGTTCAATCTAATGAGACCTTGCTGTAAATCAAGACGACAACAGATGATCAACATCAATTTGCTAGGGATATTAGATCCAACGTGGATCCAGGCACAACTGTCTTCACCGGCGTAAAGAATGATATAACAAAATATTCTGGACATTCCTTGCGAACACCTTTTTTCCAGCTCTTGGGCTGCTGCGTTTCATGTGCTATTACAACGTAATCAGATTATGTGTGAAAATATCAAGGCTTAATTAAACGGCTCGACATCAAATGCACATCCAACAATTATTATTTAATGTGCATGCGACAAGTGTTATGCAGATATACTTCTCCCATGGGCAAAGAAACTCAAAAGGGGTGATGATATTAATTAACAGTAATTTTGATCCGACTGTGCAAATTGTCCAAACAGATCCGCAAGGTACATGGATGATTTTAAATATGTTATTGGAACATAAACAGATATGGCTCATTAAGCTTTACGGACCAAATAATGATGATCCACACTTCTTTTAAAATATATATGATAAATTATCAACCCTGTAAGCAATACAAGACTCTATTATTATAGTAGGAGATTATAATATTGTTTTAAGTAGCTCAATGGACCGTAAAGGAAATCGCACTACAAACTATCACCCTCATGCTCTTAAGGAAATCGTGAATGTCATGGATACATTAGAACTAGTGGATATATGGAGTCTTAAATATCCTGACCTAGTGAGATATACATGGTGGAGACTCAATCATGCTAGTCGTCTTGACGTCTTTCTTATGTCATTCTCGTTTGCACCAAAAGTTTAAAAAGTGTTGATAGGGGACAGAATGCGGTCGGACCATTATATAATTGGCATATACATTACTCTTACTGAATTTCCACGTGGGTGAGGATATTGGACATTTAATCAAAGCCTATTTGATGATAACTTGTTTTTAACTAGGACAGAGGAATTTATAACTGCATTTTTCCATTATAACATAGGTACAGCAAATCCCCTTATTGTATGGGACACTTTTAAATATGCCTTTAGAGGCCATGCAATTCAGTACTCATCTCAAAAACAAAAGCAATTTAGGTCAAAAGAGTCCATACTAACAAAGGAAATAGAAGGTCTAACAGAACAGATAGATAGCAATAAAAACTGTAACGTAGAGGCTCAGAATAAATTAGAGAAAAAAGAAATGGAGGAACTTATTGAAGAAAGATCAAGTGAAATAAAGCAAACTGGATGGAATATGGGGAAAAATGCACCAAATTCTTTTTTAACCTTCAACATAGAAACGCTACCAAAAAGAATTTACTGAAACTGGTTACAAATGACGGAGTACCCATGATTCACCAAATTATATTTTGAAGGAGGAAGCAAAGTACTTTAAGCATATGTTTTCGTTTCAGTCACCTCCATCTCCTCTAACTGAAGCTAATTGTATGGATTTTTTTCTATTGATAATGTAAAATTAACAGCCATACAGAAATAATCATGTGAAGGTGAAATTACAGAGGAACTTCTGGATGCAATTAAAGACTTTAAGTCAGGGAAAAATCCAGGGTTGGATGGCATACCAGTTGAGGTATACCAAACCTTTTTTTATATACTCAGAGGACCGTTATTAGCATGTTTTAACCACTCCTATGTAAATGGTAGATTATCAGACACTCAAGAAGAAGGTCTGATTTCATTATTACTGAAACAGGATACAAGTGGGAAATATAAAGATCCTGTCCATTTAAAAAATTGGAGGCCTCTTACACTTCAGTGTTGTGAAGCAAAATGTATAGCGCATAGAATTAAAAAGGTATTGTCGGACATTATTAATTCTAATCAGACAGGTTTTTTACATGGACGATACATTGGAGATAATATAAGGCAAGTATTGGAAACAATAGAACACTATGACAAATCTGGGAAACCAGGCCTGCTATTCATAGCTGACTTTGAAAAGGCTTTTGATAATGTACGACTGGAGTTTATATATAAATGCCTGGAGTATTTTAATTTTGGAGAATCTCTTTATAAAATGGGTTAAAATCATGTATAGTAACCCTAGGTGTAAAATAGTAAATAATGGCTATTTCTCAGAAAGTTTTAAACTGTCAAGAGGAGTAAAACAAGGTTGTCCACTATCGGCATATCTATTTATTATGGCCATCGAAATGTTAGCTATTAAAATCAGATCCAACAATAATATCAAGGGAATAGAAATCCAGGGCTTAAAAACAAAGGTGTCATTGTACGCTGATGATTCATGTTTTCTTTTAAATCCACAACTTGAATCCCTCCACAGCCTCATAGAGGATCTAGATACATTTTATAACCTCTCTGAATTACAACCAAATTATGGTAAATGTACTATATTAAGTATTGGATCACTAAAAAATTTACATTACCGTGTAGTTTACCAATGAAATGGTCTGATGGTGATGTGGATATACTCGGAATACATATCCCAAAAGAAAGAAATGATCTCACTCAATACATTTTTATAGAAAGTTAGCAAAAATAGATAAGATCTTGTTACCATGGAAAGGTAAATACCTGTCTATTTGTGGAGAAATCACCCTCTTTAGTATTATCCCAGTTTACCTATTTGCTTATGGTCTTGCCTACGCCTAGCGAACAGTTTTCTTTTTTCATTATATGAGAAAAACATATTCAATTTTATTTGGAACAGCAAACAAGACAAAATTAACCTGGCCTATTTATATAATGAATATGAATTCGGAGTACAGAAATGATTAAATATTAAAGCATTAGACCTATCAATAAAAGTTTCAGTCATACGAAAGTTATACTTAAATCCAAACTGGTTCTCTAGCAAATTAGTAAGATTGTCTCACCCCATGTTCAAGAATGGCCTATTTCCCTTTATTCTGAATACAACCTGTCACTTTCAGTTATTTGAAAAGGAAATCATCCCCCAAATATCACTATTTCTAAAACAAGCCATAGAAAGTTGGTTCAAATTTCAATTTAATCCTCCAGAAACTACAGAACAAATAATGCAACAACTATTGTGGTTAAACTCAAATATACTAATTGATAAAAAAATGTTATTTTTTTAAATTTTTTAAAAAAAAGGTATAATCTTCTTAAATGATATCATAGGTATCGCACATGCAGATAACAAAAACATATGGAAATGGCTGCTCTACCCAAAATTACAACCAAATAATTGCAGCATTACCGCAAAAATGGAAGAGGAAAGTGGAAGGGGGGAAAAGTAAGGAACTTGTCTGTCGGCCCTGCATTAAATCCCATTATTGGTTAAAGAAAATTGTGATAAATAAAAAGTATACCAGTTTCATTTAAGGACCAAAGTATTGACAGCCGTCCCATATAGATTGCAAAATAGTTGGGAAGAGATTTTTGATGTACCGATTCCATGGCAAATGGTTTATGAACTGATACGCAAAACGACGCCGGATTCAAACCCTAGAATTTTTCAATTTAAATTATTATACAAAATTCTTGCAACCAATAGAATGTTATTTATATGGGGGATACAATCTTCCCAGCTCTGCAGATTTTGCTGCAAAGAGACAGAATCATTAGCTCATTTGTTTTGGGACTGTCCATTTGTAGCTTGTTTTTGGTCACAGGTCCAGGAATGGCTGAAGGATTGCAATATTTACCTGGAGCTAACCCTGCAGATAGCACTACTGGGTGATCTGAAAAGTCATAGTCAATCGATCAATAGTATAATAATACGGCAGGTAGCTTAGTGGGTAAGAGCGTTGTGCCAGTAACCGAAAGGTCGCTGGTTCTAATCCCCGAGCCGACTAGGTGAAAAATCTGTCGATGTGCCCTTGAGCAAGGCAC